GAGAAGGGAAGCCAGCCTCTTTTAACGTATGACAGCTGGGACCCCCCAAAGTGGAAGAACTGATTTTTCTAAAAAATGTGGACCTGAATTGAATACTTGTACTTTCCTCCCCTCAACCTGAGACTGTGGCTCCTACATCTATCACAGTCCTTTTCCACATATATTCTAGAGAGGAGGGTCTTCCTTTGCAGCACTGATTTGGTTTCAGGTCCATTACACCCAGGCACAGCAAAAGCATTTAGAATATTTAAGAAACCTTCAAATGAAGTTGCCAGAGAGGAGCTTGCAATCTCCTGTTAAATCATCTATGCCATCTGTCCAGAATTTCCTCAAGAAATTACTGTGAAAACATACAGCCAAGAACATAACAGCATCACCAGATTTCTTCATAGATGCGTTCTTAATGTTCGGGATAATTATCTTCTCAACCAGACTTGGTAATAATCACAGACTTTTCCTTAGGTAATTTAAGGACTTCATAAATGGTGAAGACATTTCAGTGTCTTGGTCTATATACAGATGAAAGCCACGATCATAGAAAATTCTTACAAAAATCTCTCTTCGGGGAAAATGAGAAGAGTTTGCTACATTTACTAAATAATTTAGCAGCTGCATTCCTCTTTTTTTTTTTTTTTTTTCAGGGAAAAGAATAGGTACATTTTGGCAGACATGCAGTGTTAGTTTGACTCAGTCGTGCTCGGCCTAACAGGCTCCTGGGTGTCAGGATGAGCAGCTGCAGCCTCCCTTGGCTTCTCACCCAGGACCATACCCAGGGCTCAGCATCCTGACTGCCTCCACTCAGCACCTACATTATGCCTCAGCAGTAGATTGCGACACAGTATGGATTAAAACTACGGCAACACACCAGGCTTCAAGAGCTGTGGTTTCTATTATGCGCATCCACCGTGATCTAGTTACATTAATGCAACTGCACTTACAAAGGATGGGCTTTCTTGAAAGAAAAAGATCAACAACCTCTCAGCAGAGACAGCAGCATTCCAAAATATTGGCAAAATATTGCAGTTGGCAAGTAACGTTTGCTGAACTCATTTGAAGTCTGCCTGAAAATTGCCCATGAACAGTTAGCAAGATTCTCAAACATGTTCAGTATCTGGAGGATTATTCTTGATGTGCAGTCAGCTCTTAAAAGGTTTGCTGTGAATACTCACAGTCTCCATCAGGTCAATTACTTACAGAAGTTACACAGTACTGCTTCTGTGCTCCGACGGGGTGGCTTCTCTGGCTTGCACAGCTTGAGCTGCGAATAGCACAATTAAGTGCACAACTTCGAGTCACAATATGGAAACACAACACTAAACATTTGCTTTTTACAATCATCTACCCTACACCAAAGCTTGAGCCTTTGATTACTAATAGTATGGCAGCCAGGTTGGGAAAAGAGACAGATTAAATCAAAACATTTTTAAAAACAAGGATCCAAGAGCTTAACATTGCTGCTGCCCTGCTAAAAAGCTTTCTTTCACCCCACAGAACAGAGGAAAGGAGAGAACACTTCCCTTTGTCTGTGTTACTGTCCCCAAACGTGACATACCCTATCCCAACACACAAAATCCAAAGCTGATAAAAGCTTTCCGCTGTCCCTGTGACAACCCATATCCTGCTGTTAGAAGGTCTTCAAATTTCAACACCAAATTCAAGAACATCATGGCAAAACTAAAGAAGAGTCATCCTTATAGTGACAATATACTGAATCCAGCATCAGGACTGGAAACATCATACATTAATGAATTTGCTACACATTTTAATATTTAAGGCAGCTTTTGATATATGTACTATTGACTAGGTTAAAAGTGTTCTGAAGAACTTCTGGGCAAACTGCTACAGGAACCACAATAACATGCAGGCATTGAAGTGCTTTCAGTTGTTATTTGGATGAAAGTAGTGACCTTAGTTCACATGCTTTATTCCTCCTCTTTTTCAAATGAGTAATTAACACAAAAGTTTTAACACACTATAATTTGAGCACATTAATTTTACACTCTGATTTCATTCCTTGTAATTCACATCCCTGATACACAAGTCCCGCATATTGCGTGGCTGCAGAGTTTAGTTTCAGGTGACAACACATGACAAGGAAAAGGTTTGCTGTCACAGACTTTGTTACGGTGAATAATTTTGCAAGATACCTTCAACACAGAGTAATCCTAGGAAAGTCTGAGTTAGGCACTTGTTTAGCTCCTTGATGAATTAGCATCATCTTTAATAACAGAATTTGGCAATCTCTGAAATGCTCGACTGCTAAATCATCACAAAATACGTATTTCACCACTTAGTCCATGTTTCCCTGTCTAATCAAGCTACGTATTTTCTTGCTTGTGCAAGCTAAACGTTATTGGAATCACTGCGCAGGAACAACGTTACCAGAAATAATTTGTAGGAGCATTTGCCCTATGGCCTAAAAAATACATGACATAGCTACTTATCTAACCCCCTCCTCCTCTATGATCCTACAAAGAATGAGAGAGATCAGTCCTGAAGGTGACAATCTCAGCTAAAATAGCAGATCAAGACTCCTCTGCAAATTTTGTATTTGCGCTATTTGCCAATTTTGTTTGTGCCATTTTCTTCCAAATCTGTTCCCCATATATAGCAAAAAGCTCAGGTAAAGCAGGAACGTAAACTTTAAGCAGAGTAGTAACAGCAGACACCCCCATCACAGGAAAGCAGGGAGCTCTCTTTGTTTTTCCTCTCAATCTTCCTAAAAAATAATTAAATCTAAAATTTCACTTGTCAGGAAAACTACAGCCAGTTCACTCTTAACAACTTCACCTGCGCTTTTTTCAAAAAAATACCACAGGAATGGTGGAAAACACTCCAAACCAACGAACACCATCTAAACTCTTATTTTAATTTAAAAATAGCAAAACAAACAAACAAAACCCAAGCAAACACACAAGAAAAAAAGATAAACTTATTTCAAGAGACAGCAATCCAAGGGCCAATATAAGAAATATTCATCCTGGACAAACAGTTACCTGTAGATTTCATAACTAAGCAAAAAATTCCCTACAACAGCTTAGAATCTTTCTTCAAAATGGTGTAAGGCTTTTGTTGCTTCTAATCCTTTCAGAGCACACAAGATCGGACATAACAGCCGTGACATTGCTGGACTAAAAAGCTATTTTATGTAATTTTGCAGTTTGTAAGAAGCACTGGTTACAATTTTCCTTTCCCTCAGATATCTGCACAGTATTCTGGTAACTAATATGGTAACTAATAACTATATGGTAAATAATACACCCGCCTTTATTAAAGAAAAGATGTAGAAGAATATACACTTTTAGAGAATGCAATATATAGTTTCCTAAAATAAGTCATCATATACAGAATATTAGAAGTATTTGTGAGACCTTAATGCTGGAGCCCATTAAATACACTGACCTACATAGCTCTCACTCTGCATCTCCAATCCATGACTGCTGTATTTCTTTCTCAATGCAGTCTTCTAGACCTTACACTCCTATGTTTTCATTACGTTATGGCATCTCACACTTCGTGTTTTGCCCCGCTGGGGTTCCCAGTGGGGGTGGTTATTGGAGATTCAGAACGAAGCCAGAAAAAAACCCAACCTACCAGACCACGGATGTGTTTTGCCTTTCTCAGAATTGTGTCCCAGTGACCCCAGCAGGACAGATCCTCTTTCCAGACATTACAGTAGCATTTGTGTATATATTTATCACAACTGTATTTATTTACAAGGATGTACGCTTGTATGCCAAGATCATTGTGTTCTGCAGCCCTATGGGGCAATTAAAGGCCTCACTTAAATATACTGCTCCCAAATGTTTACTGCTACTGCTTGGTGGGAAAAGATCACAAACCCCAAGTCCTGTGACAAGTAGCAAAGGAGATCACAGTCACCCTCTACCTAATTAAATTGCCCCAGTTATAGGGCAAAACCGATTGAAAGAGAAAGCTCTGAAACAGGCCACAAATTCACATTTTCCTATTTCATGGAAGGAGAGAGGTATGCAGATTCTGGTCATTAAATAGCTAAAAGCGCATATAATGACGACTAGCAAGGACAGTGCTAGCTGTAAGAATCTATAAGGATAGTATAGGCTGTATATATTTAGCAAACGTTAAGATTGTTTCTCTGCTGTTTTTACACCTCAGTGTGATATAGTAACACAGGATAACAGTCCTCTAACTCCGGTAGCCTGCCTGGGGGGGGAGCCTGTCTGCACAAACCCTAAGCAACAGATCACCTGGCAGGGGACCCTGCCACGGGGTCACATCCAGGGCCACACTCTCATCTGCTTTTGAAGAAAGGAAAAAGAGACTGTACATATCCAACGTGGGGGAGGCACAGGCTCCTTAAAAAACATTTTGATGTAAACCAAGCAACGTGTCAAAGAGGTGTGGAAACAGAAAGGACCTTTCTAAGACAAGGCTTCTATCTTTTTATCTGAATCCATATATGTTTCATTCTATCCAAAGTAAATATTAAATATTTCAGACTCTTGTGTAAAGCTCATCTGTTGCATGCCTCTACTATCCTTTAGCTCTGAAGCAATGACAAAACCCAGGAATGTGGAGTCTACAGGCACTCTCCAGCTACTGGTGTGCCTTGGAGGAGTCAGCACTGATCCAGCAGGCTTAATCTAGCTTGTCTCATTTCCATGAAATTATGATAAACAGAACTGGTTCCGAGGAAACATGCTAAGAGCAAAGGAAGCTTCAGGGCTAGCACATTCCCTGGATCCAGGGAAGCCTCAAAGCTCCCCGGTGCCAAAGGCAGGACTGGCACAGCAGCGGGGAAGGGCTGCCAGTGCAAGAACCCCGGCCGGGTAGGCAAATGCTCTTCGCTCGTGGCATGCCGGCCAGCAAAGTGACACTGTTAATAGCGTGCCATCGTGGTTTATCTTATGCGGTATACAAATGATGTTTGCTCATGAAAAGTAAAGACTGGTTTGTGGGGAGAGGAGAAGGAAGCCAACAAGAATAACTGAACTGTGTTAATTTATTTCTAGACTTTTATGGAGCCTACTCGGGCGCTGATCTTTACATGGGTAAGACAGCATATGTATCTCTCTTTCTCTTCTGTACCTTTACTGATCGGCCCCATTCTGTCTGATTTCTACCAAAGCATGCTTTTGTTAGCTGGGCAGACATTAAAAACATTCAGACCAAATGGGATCTGTAGGTATTCACGTGCATGGTTGCCACCGATGCTATTAATTCTAAGATGAAATACATTTTCATTCTTTAAATAATTTTAAAATGTTCCATGGCATATTTTGGAAGATTGTCCAGAAAAAAATGCTAGGAAGCAAGAAAATGCTAGAAACCAGAAAATTATTTTCATATACCTTTAAAATTACCTGAATAGCCAACATGCTATGCATGCTCAACTTTTTTTATGTATTATCATCTATGAGAAATTATCAATCATAACAGCATTACTTCAGTTATACTGCTATATTCTAGTATACGATCTTGCATTATGGTACCTCATGAGGGAAAAAAAAAAAAAGATATCCAAGAAATGCATTAAGACACTTAGCTTATTAACAGCCAGTCATATTTAAGCTCATTTTTCTTGCCTTAGGCTTTTATGATCTAGCAATAGAAAATTTTTCTTCATATTTTTCAGAAATAACAGAAAATTCCAAGAAATGGAAGTCGCTGCTAGTAAAAGAAGAAAAGCTGAGTATCATCAGGGTTAATAGCTCCTATTTGAGATCCATGAATGATTACAGAGTTACTTTTCTATATCGAACTTTCAAGTTTCATTAATAATATGCTGCCTCTCTGGGACATAGGTGTGCTCATGGTACGAAGGCTATTTATTCATCATACAGAATAGAAGAGCTAGAGGAACAATGGCTTCAAAGGTCTCATGCTTATATGTTTTGACAGTAGTTTGTTGGGCAAGCGCTCTTTGGTACTTAAGTATAACTCGCCCTACTTCTTCCTACACTGGCCACAGACAGCTCAGTAGCATATCAATAGCCAGAAAAAATGTTTCCTTTGGCAACATAAGAACTCGACCTATAAATCCACATTCCTTTGACTTTCTTATCAACGAACCCAACAAATGTGAGAAGAGTGTCCCTTTCTTGGTCATTCTTATCAGCACAACTCACAAAGAGTTTGATGCAAGGCAAGCCATTCGAGAAACGTGGGGAGACGAAAACAACTTTAAAGGAATTAAAATCGCCACGCTATTTCTTCTCGGAAAAAACGCAGATCCTGTGTTAAATCAAATGGTAGAGCAAGAAAGCCAAATTTTTCATGACATTATTGTGGAGGATTTTATCGACTCTTATCATAACCTCACTCTGAAAACGTTGATGGGGATGAGGTGGGTAGCAACGTTTTGTTCAAAAGCAAAGTACGTTATGAAGACAGACAGTGATATTTTTGTAAACATGGATAATCTTATTTATAAGCTGCTCAAACCTAACACCAAGCCAAGGAGAAGGTACTTCACAGGTTACGTTATAAACGGAGGACCAATAAGAGATGTTCGCAGTAAGTGGTACATGCCAAGAGATTTGTATCCTGACAGCAATTATCCACCCTTCTGTTCAGGCACCGGCTACATATTTTCAGCTGACGTAGCAGAACTGATTTACAAAACCTCCCTTCATACCAGACTTCTTCATCTTGAAGATGTGTATGTTGGACTCTGTCTTCGGAAGCTGGGCATTCACCCCTTCCAAAACAGTGGCTTCAATCACTGGAAAATGGCTTACAGCTTGTGCAGGTACCGCAGGGTGATCACAGTGCACCAGATAACACCGGAAGAAATGCACAGAATTTGGAATGACATGTCCAGCAAGAAACATCTTAGATGTTAAGATTTTTACAGATGTAAATACCTTTTTTTTTTTAAATTTTGTTTAGCGTGGTTATTTTTTGACAAAGCGATCTGCTGATTTACAGGTTAAACTGTGGGATATTAACTGAGAGGACTTTTAATGACTGATTTTTCATTCTCATTTTGACTACTGGTTTACAGACTTCAGGCTCTTTTCATAAGGACATTACACCAACTGAAAGCATCGAGTCAAACCTCAGATTTTTTTATATTATCCTCTATCACACATATCAGCTCCTGCATCTGTGTGTAAAAGGACAGTAATAAACTATCATGAGCTGCTTAACAGTTTATGCCCCGGCCTCTGAGATAAGACTCAGACCCTAAGAAATGAAGAACTACAAATATACTTTTATTCCTTTTTTGACACCCTACAACCATCTTTATTTAGAGCTTTGTTAATAAATTGAACGGTACACATTTGCACTGACCTTATACACCTATCTTGACATGTATATTTTATAGTACAATGTGTGCAATTCCCAAACAGCTTACTGATGGTATAATAGCAGAATTTAGACAGGTAAGAACATCAAAGTCTCATAGGCCTTAGAAACAAACCCATACACTGAAGTATATTTTTATTGACCAAATGGTATTCCTTTAAATTATTTCAGAAGATATGCCATTTCTTTCCACTGCCTAAAGTAGCCCCTAAAAGATCTAATACAATTTTAAAATGAAGTAGAATCTGTAGGTGAAATAAGACAGGAGATGTATGAAAAACTATCTTAAAAATACATGATAAAAGTATGAATATCTTTTAAGTTCAAAGCAATGTTTCTCAATGTTTCTCAACTTAAGCAGTGCAATGTTTCTCATTACTATCAGTAGACCTCTTCATTAAGAATCTTGCATAGCAATATATAATTATATTGAATGATAAAAGTGTCAATAAGCAGCGTATTTCTTCAACATCAGTCAGTGCACTATTTACCTAAAATAAAGTAACACAAAAGCAGCTTTTTAAGGGTAAGCTCTCTTTTTGCTACAGCACATATACGAATGAGATTCTACCAGATTTTTAATAGTGTAGAAAAGTAGAATTTTGTCAAATAAAAGAATGGAATCAATTTTCTGTTGATTGGGCAGAGTAACAGTTATGTACAACTTTCACTGCAAAATAGAGGGCTTTTAAGAATGACCTATTAAAGAAAAACAAATTCTACAAATTCTGTTACAAATCTGCAGCTCCCAGGTTACTCATCACAGAGCCAATACTCACTGAGGTCCCACTCAAGAGATCCCCAAAACATGTGACAGAAATCAAATACACAAGATTTCATTCAAGTTTAATAATGTGTTTTGAATATGAATGTTAATGAAGTGTCATGAAAATTATTTCCTGGAAAATTCTTCGATAAATTCAAGCCATTTCTATTCAGCACCACCTTCTAACAAAGCTAAAATATGACATTGCTCAGCTAATAACTTGGAATGAAGAATTCATAGACAAGTTAAAGATACAAAACTCACCAAATATATTATTAGCTGCAGATTACTCATACCATCCACAGCACACACGAAAGTCTCATTCATTTCAGCTAGCGTTATGTGTAATGTATGAAAAACTGTTAAGTCTGTATGTTATTCAGGATGTCTATAAAGTTGTCAGAAATTAACTGAATAAGAATTTAAAGGAAAACTCTGACCTGATTTTGCCATAGGTGTACATAGCACTTTGCAATGGTAACAGAGGAATGAAGATGCTACCCCAAAAGGTTTGCAGTTTCGTGACAAATTGTTAGTCTTATTCACAGATGCAGCACCATCATTGTGAAAGGAACTACTTGTAAATAAGGTAAAGCGTACCTGGCCTTCAAGCCACAAGCAGTAGTAGGTGTCCCAAACAAATCTACTTCAGATCTAAAGGTAAAGCTACGCAACAGATAGCCCAGGAGTTACTGCTAATCAACAGGAGCTTGTGCATCCTTCATAAATGAAAATCAGTAATTTTATATAAAAATACTGAATCTCTTGCAGCATAATTAAGATTTATCCTTCCCTAGTTGACCTAGTCCTTATGAAAGTTGCTCTTGCTTCCTGTCAAACTCAGAACTCTAGCTAAAAAAGGTTCAACTAATTGCATAGATGAATATATAACACATGCACACACTGATTGGGTGAAGTTCAGCTTTCCTTACCCAAGCCCCAGAATATGCGGTTTAGGAAGGGAAACAAGGGTGGAATTCATCCCCAGCCCTTGGGTAAATCAGACAGATGGATGCTGTCCTACCGGGAACACACTGTAATAATTTCAACCTACAGGCTGCAATCACTTCTGCTATCCCTCTGCACCGTGCAGTAACTTGGGGTTTCTGAATCCACAACCGAATGGATTTGGTGGCCTTACTTCTCCCGCTGACACTTCTGTGGCCTTTGGTTAGTAACCAAGAGGACAGCAGGGCTCCCAATCCAGATACCTCAGGGCTCGAGTAGCATGGTAGCCTTGAATTTCTCCTCGTACAAGTAGACTGCATTGACGACTGGAAGGTACACCTTGAAAATAGTATCTGAAAAAAATTATTTCCTGCCATTTATAAATAGATAGATCTTCAACAGAAATGTAAATGTTCATCTTGGAACTGATGTACATATTTCTAAGGCATTTTCTTCTGTATTCAGCTGTATATATATGTAGAGTCTGCTTGCTATGTAGCATTCTGTTATGCATGGAGCTGAGTTAGGCATTATATTTGTCCAGTGTTTCAGGAGCCTTAAGCATGTGTGCCCTAACTTTTGAATGTACAAGTTTTTTTTTTTCTTTTATTGTCAAGTGAATTTAAAAGAACACAACAAAACCCTAATTTTCTATTAATTTTCTGATACTAGACTTCACTAGCTTGTTACACTTACATAACAGATGTATTATTTTCTCTTTGCTCAGAAATTGCAGTATTGCAACCTGAAGCAAGAAAGGGAGTGATACATCTGCTCATAGGGACAGCTTGCTGTCCCTTCCACCCAGTAGCATTTGTGCCACGTGGGGTACTGTTAAGAAACAAGCGTTCGCATTGGGCTTCCTTTAATCAAAAGAAATATTTGTTACTTAAAGGTCATTTTGTTTCACTAGGCATGGGACAAATGACAACTTGGTTAAGACATGCTGGCTTCTAGTCACTTCAAAAGTGTGACTATAATCACATTTTTATTCCAACACATACATGAACAAAGCACATTGCGCAAAGAAGCTGGGGGGAAATGCCTCTCTTTAGGAGGAGTTTTTTCACAAAAGCTTTTTTTTTTGCTAAAACTGTGAGAGTATTTAAACAGAAGTTTCAAGGTTAATTTTCCATCTTTCCTAATAATAATAACAACTATCAGTTTTTATTCTCTATTGGGAATTTTTTTGTCTTTATAATGTAGATGGCAATGGCAATTTGTAAATGAAGAGTGTGATTAACTAGAAAAATCTTGTCAACAGTAACCGAACTTTAGGTGTATCATTATATATGACTGGCTGTACTTATGTATTTATTTGTCTAAATTGTATATATTGCTTTATCTATATAGTGTCTGTAGGAGTGCATTCTTTTAGATTAAAGTATTATTTACAGTTTTGTGGGATTGCCAGCAAAGCTGCTAATCAAGATACTATTTTTTTGTATCAATGTCAAATAATAAAAAAAATTTAAGAACAAAGTCAAACGAAAAATTGAAGGTGTCCTGTACAGTTTTCTTCTTCACTTCTTTCTAAAGATGTAAATGGTATTATCTGAAGACACAGTACCAGTGAATAGGCTCATTTGTCATAAGAAAGAATATTGTGCTGTAAAAGCAGATTTTAAAAAAATAATTGGAAAAATAAACACAACAAAAATATTACTTTTATTCATTATTTGTGCAACAACTTCTTCAAGCTGATGTCCACACTAATCAGGTGTACCTCTTCCTTTGACTCCAAAGACTTAATCTTAAAACAGCTATGGCAACATTTGGCAAATTAGCAGATGGGTTCATCATCTGCTTTGCCGTCCCCAGCTAACGAGACCGAAGTTTGGCAGTTCTAAGGCAGCAAAGCCTTTTGACTCCCTTGGCCCTGCAACATGATTCTTCCGCTACCTCCATGGTACCTTAATGCATATGCTTGCAGCCATCAAAAGCTACACGCAGGAGAAAGAGAAAGCACAAATGTCCCAAACCCCACATCTCATAAAACCACAATAAACTCACTTTGAAGTCGCTGCGTGACCGCCAGGAGGGTGCCCATACAGAGGGAAGCGGTCCTTCCCTGGCCTCTCAGAGCCACACGCTGACAAAGCCTTTTGCTTCCCCAGGCCCCCCAAAAGCAGCAGGAAATAAGTGAAGAATCACAACCTGCATACACCCAGATTATCCAGTTACTCTCATGTAGCATTCGTCTCCCAGTACAAATATTTTAAGATGCTGTTTTGTCCAGCAGGAAGGCTTGGGTGACCTTAGCCTTCACATCAAAATAAAACACACAAAACAAAATAACATAAAAGCAGGACAGGGACAGAGACCCTTTTCTTGTAAGAACTAGTCAGAATAATTACGCTCTCTCCATTCTCCCCTTTGCAGTTTCCTATGTAGAATGAAATATCTAACCTCTTTGACTACTGGCTTCAGAGCTCAATAACGCAAGCTCATTCATGAAATTGGTGGGAAAACAACACACACCCTTGAGAAGAAACGTAGCTTTTGCAAACCAAAGTGTATTTTCTTTGGGTCACCTGTTTCAGAAGCAGCTGAAGCCTGCTAGAGAGTCCTCAGGCATCCCGGGAGTGTCTGCAGCAACCTTACAAATCATAATGAGATGCTTTAAAACAACTAAGAATTTCACATGCAGTAAAAAACCCTCCAATCACGTTCATTTTTTCTCATTTTCACCATAGCAGCCTGAGTCTAATTGCAACACTTACATAGTGTTTAATTAATATACAGCTTGGAGATATATAGATATTAGAACTAGTAGGGTGGATTTCATGTAGCTTGATTATCTTAATTACAAGCATTCTATTTTCTCATTTACTTAATTGATTGTCATAGATTTCCAGAGAAATTTGCACTGCCCTAAGTGAAAACAATATGTAAAAAAGCCTTTTTAAAACTGCTGAAGCTGGCCTATTCAAGCAGCAACATGCCAGAAAAGGAGATCTGTATGACATGAAACATTGTACTGAATAATATCTCCTTACTTTTCTCTTGTTAAAAATAGGAATTTATTAAATGGAATAAGAGGAGTAATCTGGGAGAAAAATTAATATGCCTTATTGATTCAACTGTACCTGTAATAGAGTTGTCTCAAGTATGTCCTCTGATGACATGCCTAACGCAGGAAAAACAGATCCATTTTTCTGCCAGGTCTGCGCATTAGCTGACTTTACATTATAGCTCTGCCTCACCTGAAAGAGCTAAGGAGAGCAAGAGGCGATTTATTTGTCATGCAAGATTTATCCTTGAGCATTTATTCTGCAAAGGCAGTGAGTGTTACATATCAAGCTGCGCAGAATTATGTGCAATGGTTTTGTAATGCAGACAGCCTTTTTTTGAGGGAAGCAAATACCCCGAACTTGAGGTGTGCTAGGTAACACCTACGATATCTGCTGCTAAGTCAAGAGCATCAAGAATAATTCCAATCCCTACGTCCCTTTTTCCTTTAGGAGTTCCTTTCTCTGGCCTGTTTTGTAGCATAACCTCTTTCGTCAAAGAGAAAGCAGACCTCTTGGGCACCTTAGTATAAGCAGTAAAAGCAAGGGGGAAGCAGAGAGCTCCCTACAGTACCATTAGGGAAGTGCTAGTAGGCCCAGA